TTTTTAAAACCGAAGGAAATCCTTCCTTTAAGAATAAATTTAAAGAAGGCGTAATTTGCAATCAAATTTTTTCGCGCATGCTTTCCATAAAATATATTTTTATTTATAAGGGCAGTTAAAATCAATGATGAAAATGTATACTATTTAAGTAGTCATTTTTTACAGAATCAACTTTTTCGCAGCGGTCAGAAAGAAGCTCATCACAGAGTCGGCATCCTGGCGTGACTGAAAAGAATTGAAATTAGACTGCATGTTAAACAGTATTGCAAACCTACTCAATGTTGGTTTGCGAGTGATTACCGGTCTTTTTCAAACTGCGGAGTGTTTCTTGCAGCACTCGCCATACTGTACATTCGAGGTGGTCAGACAAGCAGGCGTGTAGATGACACAGACGCGTGGCTGCCAGTTTTTGAAGGACATAATGAATCGGGCGGGAAAGAAAGACCGTGGAATGTGGTGATTAAGGGCACGGAAATAATGAAAGGCAGCCAACGAGGTCAAGGCTCAGGGAGAACAAAGCACAGAGTGGGATAAAGGACATGGATTATCAGTGGATGAATAGGCAACCTTAAAGACACATGCTTCGGTCAAGTCGAGTTTCTCACACGCAGTCAGAAAGAAGCTGATAAAAATGATAAATGTCACAGACCTCACGAAAAGATCTGTTTCCGTAAACGGCTCTGTGCTCTCTGGAGCGATCGGTCAAGCCTCAAGCACAGCATCAATAGTTGTATTGATAGTAGCATTAGTGCTACTACTGTTAGTAGTAATCTTAGTTGCTGCATCCACATCAGTGACAGTAGTAGTAGTAGATTCCGTCTCATAAAATGTCAACTGAAGTTCCGAAACGCGTTTTAGATTCGAACAAATAGCGAAAGTAGGGTTGCGGTATTGGTTATTGTGCTGCCCAATCTCAAGATCTATTAGTCACAGCAGGATGCCGACCTTTGCAAGTTTTAAATACAAGAATATATATTTTTTTATTGCACTTACTACTTGATGCGGCTGTCATCATGCCTAATCTGGCCGGCCTCAATGATGTCACGGACGGTAGTTCTCCACGCGTGAAGATTAGCGGATCAGGAAAGTTCCACCCCTTCTTTTCACCAACGACGGAAACGGAAAAGCGAAGGCTCAAGAACCGCTTCATGTCTTGACACGCCTTCCTGAATAGGTCTACAGACGTTTATGCGTGTTTTCTGAAAAGAATATATGTTTTAATTTACAAGGATATCCAAAGTTAATGAGAAAATGCGCACTACCTAAGTACAAAATTTGGGAGAAAGTATGCCTTTTGCTGGCGGTTTAAAATAAGCTCGTTCAAAAACCGGCATCATGAACGGACTAAAATATCATGAGATTGGGCTGCATGGTAGTCAATATTGCAACCCTATTTAAGTAATTATTTGGAACCTCAAGTTGATTTCGTGATTTTTGCTGACGTTTAATGAGATAAGAAATCTGTTGTAATCATAATAATAGTAGTAGCCACATCAGACAACTGACTGGATCGGACGATGGCCTGATGTTGGAGGTGGGGTCGACGGCTTAGCGCATTATCTTCACTAAACACATTCTGACGTGCTTTAAGCCAGCATGGGGCGTTAAACGCCGTGGCGTTAAAAGTTCACCAACTAACGGGATAACTTAGACCGTGCTGTCAGCTCAGTGTGTGCTTCTGTGGAATAGCGGTCTGATAGGCCGCGATGACTCCTTAGTGTGGCTTTCATGACAATCCCACTTAGCTGGGATCCAAGTCAGGTGCGGTGACACGTTTGGGAGCGACTGCGCCAGCAATTTGCGCCCTCTGCCATCTCCGGTCTCCTGTAGTCTGTCTTGGCTCGGACCCGGGTAAAATAGAGAAATGTTAGGTGAGTTAGATGCTACACAAGTCTACTTTCATTAAAATCCAGCGAAAGTCAGTGTCCCTATACCACCCTACTACGGAGTACATGGCAGATGTCGTCGAAAAGGGCGGTTGCAATATCAAGTAGCCGCAGTAGCAACATTGATAATGGTGGTATTCCTCAGCGCGTTCTACCAAAACCTTGCAATACTTCCTAGTCCTCCGGGATGTGGTTTTCCGCTCGTAGGTCTAAAAAATAGACCGTCCTTGTACTTTGCCAACCGACATGGCTATGAAATTCCATATGCCACGACATAGTTCAATTTAATTCCTTAGCCCTCTTTTCACACCATTTCCATCCCCTCCCCTCTCCTGCTTTAAAGGTGCAGACATTGTCCTCTGGTTGATTTGTCACGCCGGCGCCGATGACATCAACGAAGCCGTCCACCTTGGCAGCTGTATTTCTGCCATGGGTTACCTCTTCAGCATTGACGATCATATGATGGTGGTGAAAAACGACAGCCACACCTACTACCGTTTTCAGACACCCTGTCTCTATCCGAGTCGCTGCCCGGAGGCTGACACCGTGGACTACGCGGTCTATCTCTGTAAACGCACAATGCAGAACAAGCATCGTCTCGAGCTGTCCGCTTTTGAGGCAGAGCGACTGGCCAGTCTACAGAATCTATACTACCATAAATGGGAATTCATCTACATGCAGGTGTGTTTGCGCATTGACTGCCATTTTTATCCACCCTCGTCCAGCCTTGCCGCTTAATCTGGATCTGGTACTTACAGTATACTACTCGTTATTAGCGAGTAGCCATGTTTTATTACTTTTTAAACTATCCGACCACTGCTGTCTTCATTCGCAAGCATGCAATTGACGTACTTTTTTCAATTTTTCTTTGGACTCATATATTTCCTATCATCTTGTTTTCAATAGGGAGTTCAAAGGCGTTCGCCTATCTTTCCCTCAATAAACTGATACCGATAGTGGTTGTACTTGACACGGCTGTGGTTACGCCTAATGATGCTGGCACGTATTGTACTTCTCCACGCGTGACAATTTGCGACAGCGGATCTGGAAAGCTCCATCTGTTTTCTTCTCTAGCAACGGAAACCAAATATCGAAAGTGCAAGATATGTCTCCATGCTTTGGTGAGCCGTGTCTAGCCAGCAATTGAGTTGGCCTCGGCTTCGACGCCTCCATGTGGACATCGGCGTCGCATCGAACCCACCTCGGTCATCTTTCCTGGATGACCTGCAATATCTTCGTGATATTTGGGCAGTGATTGCGGACTGAGGTGGTCAAATACCTCTAGTCTTCGCATATCTTCAGCGCGTAAAGCTTAACATTGACAACTTTAAAGGGCACTGACTGGTAAGATACATGATATACACGGATGTTCGTTGGGATGGAGATATCGCACCGGATCCATAGGGCTTTCGAGTTCTTGAGAAAACTCGGCGAACAGTATCGATTCGGTAGAAAATGTCGTCCTTTCTCTGTCCATTCGGGAGTAGCCACGGTCTGATGTTTTTGGAACTGTCTACTTCTTTGTGTTGACGTTGATTACTTCCTAAGAGTGTCTTTACCTAATCAGGGATACAACTCGAGTAAAATTTGGGTTTCCCATCCCTTATATACAAGCCGATCGAAGTAGCGACCTCATTTACCCGTGACACCACAGACTGTCGATAACTGAAGCCTAGAGCTAGCGAGGCGATATCGTCAGTGTAGTCAGTTAGCGGGCGTCGGGGTGTCGGCCCTGGAACAAGTCCTGGTGTCGTTTCAGCTAGATTAACTTTGAACCCTCTTGTACGGGGTATACTGTTGCAGTCTGTAGTGCAAATGTCCATTGCCACTTCGATGACTTACTGAGCGTGGATGCGAACTGCATGATCAGCCGCAAGACTCAGCCTTCGACTTTCGACCTGCGCTGTTGGCGTGGTCTCCAGCCCCTTTTCTGTCTCATTTGATGTAGTACGTGCTGGTCTGCTCAGAATGTGCAATCGGCGCGGACTGAATATTAGGATCAGTCTGGTTGTTTCCAGCTTTTCTAGCTGGGATCTACGCTTGATTCAGTCTCAGTATCAATCCATTGAGAGCAAGATAGGCGAACGCCTTTCAACTCCTTATTGTTAATAAGATGATAGGAAATATATGAATCCAAACAAAAATTTAAAAAGTACGTCAATCGCCTGTTGCGAGTGAAGGCACAGCAGTTGTTGGACTGTCGAAATAGTAATAAAACATGACTACTCGCATATAACGGGTAGTACAATGTAATGTAGAGTTTGTTTTGTCAATCTTTTGGTTACCTTTTGTCTGTGTTTTTTTTGCATGCCCAGCCTGCTCTTAAAATCAATTAACACGATTGGAGAGGATTGTTACTTGAAACTCTCACGTATGGAGCTGCCCGCCATTCGAGGCTCCACTGTACTTTTCTTGCGCCTTCTTGATCGTTTTATACCCCCTCCCC